TGTTGGAAACTTTAGAGGTTTAGTAGCCTTATAGAGCTCATTCATATTATAAGAATGAAGGCCATTTTTTGTTAAAAGCAACTTCTGGGAATGTCCCAGAATGTCAGAGAAATCATCCTAGTTCTGTTTCTCTCTCTCCTCCCACTCTGCTGTTTCAAAGTGTAGTCATATCGATACTACTCTTAACAGCTTTTCTGATGTAATGTCATTCAAATATGTGGATCTAAAGTAACCACAAAGTTGTCAAAGAACCAGTTCTGTTAAGGCACTTAACTAGAGACCAAGAATTCTGCACCCACACAAAGCTAGCTGGGTAACTTTGGGTTAGTCCCTCCCTCTCAGCCCTAGGAAGCAGACATTGGCTACTTCTGAAATCTTGCCAGGAAAACTGAAGAGACCTCTCACTCCAATTGGCCTAGCCTGCCCCACTCCAGCAGAAGAAGTCTACTATGGACCCCGTCTGCTAAGCAATTCCGGCAGACAGGGTCAAGGGGAAGAGCCTTTTCAACTATGGCTCCCATTCCTATGGAACACTCTACCACCGGAGGTGAGAACTACTCCCACCATTTTGGACTTCTGGAAGAGTGTTAAAACTTGGGTTTGCCGGTTGATTTGTGGCTTGGGGGGGAGGGGGGGAACTACTGGAATTGGTTGACAGGGTAAGAAGATGTTTTTAAAAAACCCACCAGAAATCCTGTGCTAGCTGAGATTACCGTAAGCTACTTTGTCTGGAGAAAATTATATTGTAGAAGGCTGCAGTTCAGTTTACACTGCTGTTCATTTTACTTTTTATTTATTATATGTTGTGCCTTAAGATGTGGCTGCACGCCTGTTCCCAATAGAGCACACCAAATGTGGCATTGGTGTCTCTTTCCATTCAACACACTTGTTTCACAAAGACCTCTAGATAATAGCTGCTTTCTATAGATCACACCTCATATATCAGGTAGGAATATTTTCTTTTCGTTTGTTTTTAAAAAGTGTAGTCAAGCACCAAAGCGCCTGCAAACCTGCAATGTTAATTATAGGGAGTCTCCCAAAAGACTTAATGCAGTGCTGGAACTTTTGCTGAAGGGGGAATTAAGAAGGCGACTGATCCAGCTGCTAAGCAGCAGAAGCCACAGCAGAGTTAAGACGATCAGGGATTTGTTTTGAAGAGACCAACTGAGTCTATAGAGTCAAGCGATTGCTCATTAAGTTTATATCCCTTTTTTTCCCTTACATTCTCTTTCAGTTTTTCTTGAAATAATCCTACTTTGATGTAAGTCAGGCAGAGAGAGAGCTTGATTCACTCAAAGTCTCACAAATTGAAGGTGGATGTGAACCAGATATCACTTGCCGCAGTAAATTTGGCATAAATGATGTCACAGGAAATTGAAATGTCAGGCAAACCATTTTATATTGTCTAATTCTTACCCCATTGTATATCACAATGATCCCAGTATTACATTTAGGTTTCCATGCTGATATTCTCTGGAACTTCCTTCCATGCATTTCTGCTCGGCACACATTATGTATAAAAGTATGTTAGCCATCTTGCCATCCTTCTCATTAAAAGGGGGGCTTGGTCAGTGAACAACAGTCCCCATTATTATTGCAGCCCTCCCTAACAGTTTATTCAGTTTGTTTTTATAGCAGAAGATTAAATCTAGACCATGGAATTATCTCGCCTTTGATTCCTCTCTGCTGATGGAGAAAAGCCAATTCAAAAGCTGAGAGTTGACAGATTCATTATACCAGCTTTTATGTTCGTGTTCTTCCACGAATTCATAATTATCACTACATGTGTGTGTGTGAGACAGGGAGGGAGGGAGAGAGAGAGAGAGAGATGCTCCACATTTTAGGAGTATAATTTAACAAAACATTGATATTTTTGCTCTTAACTTCTTTCCAAGAATGTAATTCCCCAAAGTAATATCTAGCAAAAAAAAAAAAAAAAGAACCACCAGAGGATAGGCACTAACTGTACTTACATTGATTACATCTCTAGCATGTACAATAACAATAACCAAACTTTCTGGAAACATCTACTGAGTCCAACAACCCTCCCCCCCACCCACTCCAGTTCCTCTGTTCTAATTGAATTGTGTCCAGGTAGGTGATGGTGTTTTTCAGCCTACTAATGCCAGTCAGACATTATATATCATTTCATTTGCATCAGAGCTCAGATTCCTGCCTGGTTAAACTATCAAAGCTATGCCATTTGACTTAAAAACATCGTTTCCAACACTAAAAACTAAGGCTTGGCATGTAATTTCAGTAGTATACTTCAGTGTTTTCCTTATAAGCAGAAGAAATAGCTGTTGCAGATATACAACTGAGTCAAAATTTTCAGTTGCTAAACAAGATAGTTTGACGAACTGTCATAAGTCACTTTTTTCAGTGCCATTGTAACATCAAATGGTCACTAAATGAATTGTAAGTCAAGGACTACCTGTGTGATTTCTAGTTGATAATCAGTTGCTTCTTAACTATTTATCTTCTGAGTTCAATGTCAACCACTTGCTATGTTCCTAAATGTAGAAGCTGTTGAAATTAAAGTACAACATTAAATAAGCTATGCATTACAAAGCCATCCTGAATATTTCCTGCTTTGTTCCTTTATGGTGCTGTTACAGAGGAGCCCCAATTGTTTAAGAAAGAAATGTTCCTTAAATATGTAATTGTCCCAGAAACATAGAAAATTGACAGCAGAAAAAGACCTACCGGTACATCGAGTCTGCCCTTTGAGGGTCCCCCCCCCCAATTTATTATTTTTATATTTTATTTATTTTTATGTATTATTGCAAAAACAGCCCAACTATTCTCTTTTCTTACGAAACCAAGTTGAGGGGTTTTTGTGAGTCTGAAAGGAGTCACCAAGTTCATACTTGGTTCCTCCAAAAGATGTGTGTGTGTGTGTGTGTGTGTGTGTGTGTGCGCGCGCGCGCGCGCGCTTGTGTGTTTTATTTGTGCTGATAAATAAAGGGAGACTAGTATAGATCTATTTCAAGCTATTTAGCTCTCATCAGCTAGCCATACCCTTACTGGGATTTGAACCTCATCACAAGAGTCCATCACGACCGAAACCCAATAGGCAACAGTAAAAATATTGGGTTTCGGTCGTGATGGACTCTTGTGATGAGGTTCAAATCCCAGTAAGGGTATGGCTAGCTGATGAGAGCTAAATAGCTTGAAATAGATCTATACTAGTCTCTCTTTATTTATCAGCACAAATAAAAAAACACAAATATAACA